AGGATTTTCAACATGTGTCTATAACATTCTCTGTGTTCTTCTGCCATCTTGTGACTTTCACTTAGATTTACACTACACTCTAGAAATTATTCCTGCTGTTTTATGGAGTCCGTTTTTTTAAAATTCCTAAAATCCTGCCCTCCTCAATAGTTTGGGTCTACTAGAGTAAGTAATGCTTTAATTCTATTGATTTCAATGGATGACTGTGATTAACTTGGCCCCACTGAGATCAGTGTGACATAATCTGGACCCAACCATATCTTATTCAGAATTCAAAAATCCAAATGTTCCTCTCCTATATCTTTGAACTAAGTGACAAATCACAATTTTATCCATAGGGAAATGGCTTGGACGTACTTCGTATACATGATAAATGTCTATCTGGTTTCTTTAAGCTGTAGCAAGAAATATTTAATAGCATGGCTTAAGGACTTGAGCTTCCGGGAAAAGGTGGATCTTGAAGAGTGAAGGAAGAGAACGGCAGAGACAGATATTCTGGGAAGGAATTCTGGACTGGAATGGATAATTTTTTTCTGACACAACAGATCTTCAGAACAACATATGTCTTTATCATTTGGAGAAATATAAGCCAAGAATAAATTACATAGATTTGAGAGTTTTGATTTTGTGTTGCAGAAATTAAGGTTGAGTTAAGCAACAAAAAAATTCCAGGGAAAGTGCTTTTCAAGTCAACATTCTCACTATTGTTTTATATTTGGTGACATACTTTGAACCTTTTGCAAATGTTTCACTCCTTTTCATTAGAAGGATGTAGCTTGTTTCTTTTCCCAACTTTAGTCACAAATGCATGAAGACATACATGACAATGTCTAGAGAAATACAATCAGAGAAATAGTCTGAAATGCTTTAATGAATGATTATGTACTTGTGCTCTTTATTTAATTTTATTGTAGATTTGGTGTATGCAAGACCTAAGACAAAAATGGCATGATTGTGAGAAATTAGTGACATCACTAGACTTCTATCAGTTCATGATATGCTATTGCCTTGGTAGCTTGTCTTAGTGTTCTTTAGATCCATATCAGAGAATGGTTAAAGCAGGCCTGTTCACTTGAATCACAGCAGCCTTTAGAGGTAGCATAGCAACAGCAAGAGACAAGAGGCAAGTGATCCTGGAAAATGCAATTGCCTATGGGAGTGATAAAAATAAAGTTGAAGAACAAAGAAGAGAATGTAGTGATTTCATCTAAGACCACAGTTAAAAGGTCCGTGCCTGGTGATCATTTGCTAAACCATATTAGCCAGGAAAGAGAAGCACATTCATCAGGTTAAAGATGAGCAGAGAGGTTTATTATGATTCAGCAAAAATTATGCATATATGAGTGATTTGCTTCAAAAGATACAAGCATAAACATACAGAGAAATGCATAACATCTCATACAATTCTGGCAACTATTCAAACTTCCCGCTCCCTCCACTGATTGGCTGAAAAAGAATCAGATTAGGATCTGTGTCTGAATTGATCTAGGGTTCCCTTGATGTCACAGCCTGAAGGAGGAGTTTTTCAGGGGGCAAAGAATGACAGCCAGTGATTGGTTAGTTCAATTGACCAATTCATTGCAGAGATGCCCCATGGGAGGGCACAGTTCATGAGGAAACAATGGTGTAGATATGCAGATAAGTCTCTGATTAACTCAAGTATCTGGTTTGTGTGAAACAGAGGGTGGCTTCTTATATTTTTTATACATTTTTCAATAAAAGGGAATAAGGCAAAAGGGTCAGGAAAAGGCCAAATACACCGGGAGAAATATAGAAATATAGGAATCATGATATAGAAAACATACCCACTTATCCCTCCCCCCAGCGTCCCATAGAAAAATTGATAAGAGCCTTGATCATGGCCCAATATATGTCCATAGTTCATTATAGGAAAATCCATAGACGAAAGTATGTCCATAAAGAGGAGGAAAGTCCTTGATGTGGGGCAAAAAGGTTCAAAAATCATAAGAAGAGGCTTGCTGATTTCCACTGAGCCAAGATATGGAGCTCTGCATCACTGGGGCTGAAGCTTGTCCTTTGGTCCTTGGCGAACTGTAATTCCCAGGGGGCAGATCCACTCCCTGAAGGTCTCATGGATGACCACATCAAGTCCCCAGGTCCTGGGGCTCCAGAAGGACGAAGAAGCGACGGCGGGAGCAGCGCAGCAGCAGGAAGCTCAGTTTGACAATCAGCTGTTTCTCTTTTAAATATATTCTCAAAAATAAAAAGATTATTCCCGGAGTGTAGGAGTCCGAAATACAAAAAGCGAGATAGCAGTTAATGTTGGAATTGAGCTAGGAAAAATATGGCACCAAAATGGAGTCGTTTGGTTAACTCGCGGATACAGGGGCCCGAGGGGTTTCCGTATACGCAGTTTAAAGAAACACAGATTCGGTCTCCCTGGGACGCCTGGAAGGCATCCCAGGTGGGCCGGTGGCTGCCTGCGGCCCAGAAAAGGGCAAGTTCATGCATTTGATACTTGTGAGTCAGGAAATAGACACAATGTATCACTATGAAGAGGTGAAGGTTACAATTCAATTAGTTTTTATTAGGGGTTTTGTTACAATGTTTGGGCTGGGGAGAAAAGCAAAAGGAGAGAGCTCAAGGTTGCAAAGAGTCCCTGGTTGAGGCTGCTGCTGGGTCACATTTTATCAGAGTTGGCCCAACGGGGCATTCAGGAACTGTGGAACTCCCTGCAGCTGGTTAGATCAGCTGGAAAGCAGGGGTCTGGGGCAGATGCGGCATCAAACTTTGGTCCAAAAGCAAGGTGCTGGCTGCTGGAGCTGATGGACAACTGCTCTGCATCCTGTGAGATTCCCAAAACCTGGAGGAAAGAAAGAGTCATAGCCATCTTGAAATCAGGCAAAGACCGTAATGATCCAAAAAGCTATAGACCAAACCTGTTGTTGTGCCACCTTTACAAAGTTCTGGAGAGACTTATTTTGCATAGAATGGAAAAAATAGACCTCTGTCTGATTCCACAGCAAGCTGGCTTCAGGAAAGGCAAAAGCTGCATATCACAAGTGCTGAACCTGACTCAGTACATAGAAGATGGCTTTGAAAGGCAGCAGATCACAGGAGCTGTCTTCATAGACCTGTCAGCAGCCTATGATACTGTGAACCACCGCCTCCTCCTGAGAAAAATGTATAATATCACAAAGGACTACCACCTCACCTGCCTCATAGGAAACCTGCTACAAAACAGGAGCTTTTTTGTTGAGTTCCAGGGCCAGAGAAGCAGATGGCGGAAACAGAAGAATGGCCTGCCTCAGGGGAGCGTGCTCGCTCCATCCATGTTCAACATCTACACAAATGACCAGCCACTGCCAGAAGGGACAGAGAGTTTCATCTATGCTGATGATCGTGCCATTACTGCTCAAGCAGGGAGCTTTGAGATGGTTGAACAGAAGCTCTCCGAAGCTCTAGGTGCTCTTACTGCCTATTACAGGGAAAACCAGCTGATCCCTAACCCATCTAAAACACAGACATGTGCCTTTCATCTCAAGAACAGAGAAGCATCCCGAGCTCTGAAGATCACCTGGGAAGGAATCCCACTGGAGCATTGCAGCACACCCAAATACCTGGGAGTGACCCTGGACCGTGCTCTGCCTTACAAGAAGCACTGTCTGAATATCAAGCAAAAGGTGGGCGCTAGAAACAATATCATACGAAAGCTGACTGGCACAACCTGGAGATCACAACCAGATACTGTGAAGACATCTGTCCTTGCGCTATGCTACTCTGCTGCTGAGTACGCATGCCCAGTGTGGAACACATCTCACCATGCTAAAACAGTGGATGTGGCTCTTAATGAGACATGCCACATTATCGCAGGTGTCTGCGCCCTACAGCACTGGAGAAATGACACTGTTTAGCCAGCATTGCACCACCTGACATCCACTGGGGAGTAGCAACCAATAATGAAAGGACCAAGGCAGTGACATTTCTGGCCCACGCCCTGCTTGGGTATCAGCCAGCATGCCAATGACTTAAATCGAGAAATAGTTTTCTAAGATATACAGAGACAGTCGCTGGAACACCTCAGCAAGCAAGAGTCCTAAAGTGGCAGGCTCAAACTCAGAACCTCAACCAATGGCTGATACCAAATGAGAGACTCCCCTGGGCACACAGAAAATTGGGTGACTTGGAAGGCGCTTAACAGACTGCGCTCTGGCACCACGAGATGCAGAGCCAACTTCAGAAATGGGGCTACAAAGTGGAATCCACGACATGCGAGTGTGGAGAAGAGCAAACCACTGACCACCTGCTGCAATGCAACCTGAGCCCTGCCACATGCACAGTGGAGGACCTTCTTGCGGCAACACCAGAGGCACTCCAAGTGGCCAGATACTGGTCAAAGGACATTTAATAGAATACCATGTTTGTGTTTTGTTTGTTTGTTTTTAATGCAATACAACTGTTTTGGTTTGTTCCTGACACGATAAACAAATCTGTTGGGGGTGCTCACATCATCTGAGTGTGGACTCAGGGCCCTATTATTATTATTATTATTATTATTATTATTATTATCCAGAGTGTGGATATCAAGGTAGGAAATCCCAGATTATCAGAGTATGGACTCAGATAACCCAGTTCAAAGCAGATATTGTGAGGTTTTCTGCCTTGATATTCTGTGATATAGGGCTGACTGGAAGGGCCCCGAGTCCACACTGCCATATATTCCAGTTCAAAGCAGATAATGTGGGATTTTATTCAGCTGTGTAGAAGGGATCTATGAACAGCAGAAGCAGCAGAAATAGCAACAAACTGATGTAAGCAGCACATGACAGATCCTCCCCTATAACAGCACCTGTAGCCCCGCCTTAAACTCCTTTTTGGTTCCTCTTTACAATAACACACTTTGCATAGCTTCACCCACTTTGTCACTCCATCTTCATGTTGGCCAATCAGCGCGCCTCGTCCCGCCTACCTCCCATCAATAGCCAATGAGGACGCTCCGAGGGACCGGCTAGCGTGGCTTAATCCATGAGTCTCTCCTGGGTCGATACTGACGCCGGGAGCACAGCTGGCCAGGAAAGAGGAGGGCGCGCTGCTATTGGTTGAGAGCGGGATGCCGGCTGGGCTCCGATTGGCTGAGAGCATGGGCAGCTCAACCGGGCGAGAGGAGTAGGAGAAGGAACAGAAGGAAACAAGCCTGTCCTGAGCCGGCGCTTCGGGGTCAAAAGAGCCCTGTGGGAGCTGAGATCCAGGTGAGATAATCCGAGACAGGTGCGTTGGGATGGGAGGGATGATGCGGGAAAAGGGAGGGGCCTGAGGCTGTTAGGAATGGTGGGAGTTGGAGTCCAAAACATCTGGGGGGCCCAAGTTGGCCCAGGCCTGGCTTAGACCCTTCTTAAAGTCCAAATGTGCCACATACAATACTTTAACTGCTCCCCTGGCGACATGCTCTGCCTTTGCTTTCTTGGAGAAGTCTTGGTGTTCTATGATTTCCCTTTAGTGCACATTAAACAGAGGCTGGATGGCCATCTGTCGGGGGTGCTTTGAATGCAATTTTCCTGCTTCTTGGCAGAATGGGGTTGGACTGGATGGCCCATGAGGTCTCTTCCAACTCTATGATTCTATCAACTCAACCAAGGGACAATTAAACATCCATGCAAAACTAGGTCAGGAATGCCTATGCATAACAAACATGGGGATTGCACAAAGTGCTGGTGCTGGGAGGGAATATTTCGAAAGGGAAAATAGTGTGGCTCCAGTCCCATCTCTTGCATTCCCAACCCACAGCTGCTCTCCCTTGCTAGGCCTTGGGTTGAGTTGTTCGGACAAAAGATGCCAATATTCTCATCCCAAGGGCCATCGATTCCAACCCCTTGTCATGCAGGAAACGCACAATTAAAAAACCCCCAACAGATGGCCATCCGGCCTCTGCTTAAAAGCATCCTGAGATGGACACTCCACTACACCCCAAAGCAGCATGTTCTGCTGCCAACAGCTCTTACTCTTAGGAAGTTCCTCCAAATGTTTAGGTTGAATATTCTCGTTTGCAATTTGAATCCATTGCTCCATGCCATAGCCTCCAGAGCAGTGGAAAACAAGCTCAGGGGCCCTTCCACACAGGCATATAACCCAGGATATCAAGGCAGGAAATCCCACAATATCTGCTTTGAACTGGAATATATGGCAGTGGACTCAGATAATCTAGGACCCTTCCACACAGCCAAGGCAGAAGACAGGAAAGCTTAGAGAAGACAATGATGCTGGGGAAAATGGAAGGAAAAAGAAAGAGGGGCCAACCAAAGGCAAGATGGATGGATGGTATCCTTGAAGTGAGTGGTTTGACCTTGAAGGAGTTGGGGGTGGTGACGGCTGACAGGGAGCTCTGGAGTGGGCTGGTCCATGAGGTCACAAAGAGTTGGAAGTAACTGAACAAATAAATAACAACATCAAGGCAGAAAATCCCACAATATCTGCTTTTTTGTGTTAAGAGCAACTTGAAAAACTGCAAGTCACTTCTGGTGTGAGAGAATTGGCCATCTGCAAGGATGCCAATTCCAGGGGATGCCCAGATGTTTTTGATGTTTTACCATCCTTGTGGGAGGCTTCTCTCATGTCCCTGCATGGGGAGTTGGAGCTGACAGAGGGAGCTTATCCGTGCTCCTCAGATTCGAACCTGCAACCTGTTGGTCTTCAGTTCTGACGGCACAAAGGTTTAACCCATTGCACCATCAGGGACTCCACACTGCCATATATTCCAGTTCAAAGCAGATATTGTGGGTTATTCTGCCTTGATATTCTGGGTTATACTGCTGAGTGGAAGGGCCACTAGGCCCCTTCCCCATAGCTATATACAACTTCACATCTGTTTTGAACTGGAATATATGGCAGTGTGCGCTCAGATAACCCAGTTCAAAGCAGATATTGTGGATTATCTGCATTGATACTGCAAGTCGCTTCTGGTGTGAGAGAATTGGCCGTTTGCAAGGATGTTGCCCAGGGGATGCCCAGATGTTTTGATCTGTTACCATCTTTGTGGGAGGCTTCTCTCATCCCCACATGAGGAGCTGGAGCTGATAGAGGGAGCTCATTTGCGCTCTCCCCATATTCTAACTTGCAACCTGTCGGTCTTCAGTCCTGCCGGCATAAGGGTTTAACCCATTTCGCCAACGGGGGCACCTTGCAGTTTCTCAAGTCTCTCCTGACACGACAAAAAAAAATCTGGTGGCTGTGTGGAAGGGCCCTTGGTTTTGTTTATCCGTCCGTGCCACTTCCTTGCCAGTCATGCCATAAAACCAAACCCATGGTGAGTGCAAGGTCAGCCTTATCAAGAGATAGAACTATGTACTATGCATGTTGCAATGGCTGCATGTTGTAATAGTTGTGTTGTTTATGGAGAATAATGATAACTAATTGCAGTTAGTCACCATCATTGCTTTGTTTCACCTTTAATATTGGAGATGCTGTACCTCTAAATGCCAGTTGCTGGGAAAGAGAAAGAAGGGTGCTCTTGTGCATTGGCAAGTGGGATGGGTACTTAGTCTGAACTTCCAAAGTGCTATCTTAGGGTGCATCTACACTGTAGAATTAATACAATTTGACATCATTTTAACTGCCATGGCTCATGGCTATAACAGCAACAACAACTTTATTTATATCCCACCACCATCTCCTTGAAGGGCGACTCACAAAAGTACTCAAAGGTGCAACACGCATAAAATACAACAGTATATTAGTATATAAAACAATAACAATGGCATTTATGGGATCATGGTTACAGTTCCAAGAGTTCCTCATCAAACTACAGCTCCCAGGATTCCATAGCATTGAGCCATGGTGGTTTAAAGTGGTGTAAGATTGCATTATTTCTAGAGTAGATGCACTGATGGATGCTGAGTGATCCTTAAAATAGCTTGGACAGGTTCTTTAGAGCAGGCATGGGCAAACTTTGGCCCTCCAGGTGTTTTGGACTTCAACTCCCAGAATTCCTAACAGCCTACAGGCTGTTAGGAATTCTGGGAGTTGAAGTCCAAACACCTGGAGCGCCAAATGTTTGCCCATGCCTGGTTTAGAGTCTAATTCACCAAGCCACAGACATGGAAGCCATCGCCGCACACGTTCGATGGGGTTTTGATGGGAGGCAGAAGAACAATATACTAGTGGATCAGTTAGGCCTTTGGGTTGACCCAGCATGACTTTTCTTACATTCTCATCTTCCTGTTTAGTGTGCAGAAGCTGAAGTAGAACAAAATAATACATAGTAGTGCAATAGAATCTGGTGGAATTTACTTCTGTGTCAGCCTCTTTTCATTATGCTAAGGGTAGCAAAATTAGCTGGCTAAATATCAGGAGGCAGGTTTCAACACTCAGATAAGTATGGCTGAACTGTTTATGTAGGATTTTTTTAAAAAATAGTTTAAAATAGTGTCCCATTATTTGCAATGCAAACTTAAACATACCAGTATATTATTTTAATGCAAGTCTTTCTAAAAATGGCAGATTGCAGGCCTAATTTCAAAAGATTCCTCCTGTTCTTTTCTCTCATTTGCTTGAGAATGTTTATTTCTGTCGTGTGTGTGTGTGTGTGTGTGTGTGTGTGTGTGTATGCATTCAATAGAAATAATGCATGAGAACTTGAAAATAAAACTCATCACCCTGATGGGGCTTATTGCTAGGATGATGTACAGAACATTGCAGCCTATATTTACTTAGGGTACATTATCTTAGTAATATGGCTCTTTCGGTGTGATGGGCTTTCAAGTCCTCGTGCATGCACTGACATTGCTCCGTTTCTATAATCGAATGACAGCCAGCCAGGCATGTAGCCCGGGGGGTTTGCGAAAATTCTCATGGTGGTTCTCGAAAAGGCCTTACTGGTGCATTATTTAAACTGTTATGTTTATTCATATCATGATCTGATCACCATACTAAATATATCCCATATGCATGGGGGTATTGGGGTAATGATACAAAAGGTTTGCTAGGCTAGACCCTCTTTCACTCAGACTCAGCCCCCCCGAAACTCAGCCCCCCGAAACCCCCCCTGAAAAAAATTCAGCCCCCCCCCCCCCGAATCGAAATCCTGCCTACGGGCCTGCAGCCAGCCCTTCAAATACGCAACCTAAAACCAGAGCAGCTCCTTTCTGAGTCTGCCGTCTCTATCTTAAATCTTTTGCCTTTCACTGCAGGTTTCATTTCCCTCTTGAGAAAGAACTGTAAAAGCAGCTTCATACATAATTAATTTATGCAATCTATTTGCAACCCCATGGGCCAAAGGAGGAAGGGCGTCTTTGCACACAATGATTTTCCCATGCTGGAAATAATTTTATTTTAGCATATGCACACAGTCATGTGCAATGAGTGTACATGTGGTAAAAAAAATGCATGGGTGACTGTATATGTGATGAACTCACATTGTTGTAATATTTATTATTATTACGGTTGCTTATACCTGAATATGCCCAAATTGGGAAAGAAGTCGTCCAGGAATACCTGGCCGCTCTTAATGAGTTCAAGTCCCCAGGGCCAGATCAACTACACCCAGAGTATTGAAGGAACTAGCGGAAGTCATTTCGGAACCATTGGCAACCATCTTTGAGAGTTCTTGGAGAACGGGAGAAGTTCCAGCAGATTGGAGGAGGGCCAATGTGGTCCCAATCTTCAAGAAGGGAAAAAAGGATGACCCAAACAACTACCGTCTGGTCAGCCTCACGTCGATACCGGGCAAGATTCTGGAAAAGATTGTTAAGGAAGCGGTCTGCAAACACTTAGAAACAAATGCAGTCATCGCTAATAGTCAACATGGATTTATCAAAAACAAGTCATGCCAGACTAATCTGATCTCTTTCTTCGATAGAGCTACAAGCTGGGTAGATGCGGGGAATGCCGTGGATGTAGCGTACCTGGATTTCAGTAAGGCCTTCGACAAGGTCCCCCATGACCTTCTGGCAAGGAAACTAGTCCAATGTGGGCTAGGCAAAACTACGGTGAGGTGGATCTGTAATTGGTTAAGTGGACGAACACAGAGAGTGCTCACTAATGCTTCCTCTTCATCTTGGAAAGAAGTGACGAGCGGAGTGCCGCAGGGTTCCGTCCTGGGCCCGGTCCTGTTCAACATCTTTATTAACGACTTAGATGAAGGGCTAGAAGGCATGATCATCAAGTTTGCAGACGACACCAAATTGGGAGGGATAGCCAATAGTCCAGAGGACAGGAGCAGAATTCAAAACGATCTTGACAGATTAGAGAGATGGGCCAAAACTAAAAAATGAAGTTCAACAGTGACAAATGCAAGATACTCCACTTTGGCAGAAAAAATGAAATGCAAAGATACAGAATGGGGGACGCCTGGCTCGAGAGCAGTACGTGTGAAAAAGATCTTGGAGTCCTCGTGGACAACAAGTTAAACATGAGCCAACAATGTGATGTGGCGGCAAAAAAAAAAAGCCAATGGTTGAGCTATTGTCTAAGGGTGGGCTCTGTTGCGGTGGTTTGAGTGTTGGATTACAACTCTGGGAGACTGAGGTTCAGATCCCCACTCAGACATGGAAACTTACTGGGTGATCTTGGACAGGAGAGCAAACCTCCTCTGAATAAGGACCCTTCCAGACAGGCCCTATATCCCAGAACCTGATCCCAGGTTTTCTGTTTATCCCAGATTATCTGGCAATGCTGAGTCCTGTATTCCAGTTTAAAGCAGAAAACTGGGGATCGGATACTGGGATATAGGGCCTGTCTGGAAGAGCCTTTAATCTTGCCAAGAGAATCTTATGGAAGGGTTCCCATAAGTTGGAATCAACATTAAAGCATGTGGCTACAACAGTTAGTGGAAATCTTAGCACCTAAATGCTGAAGTCCATATGTAACAAATGTGAAATTGGGCTGGATTTCTTAGGCCAATACATTGGTCCTTTCTTAGTGTTGATGCTTTGATATGCAGAGCACTTCTCCATAGTTCTTCATCATGAATGTCATAATTGTGTGACACTACAGTAAGAAACTGCTTTAGAACATGTTGTTGTGTGCCTTCAAGTTGTTTCTGACATGTGGTGACCCTAAAATGACCTCATTGCTGGGTTTTCTAGGGTTTGCTTAAGATCACTCAATGGGGTTTTGGGACTTGAACCCTTGGCTTCAGAGTCATAGTCCTTATAGCCAAACACACAAACTATTACATCACACTGCTCTCTCATGTAATACCCTTTAAAAGAGTCATATCTTGCTGTGGAGATGTTCCTCTAAAAGAGTCACGTAGTTGAGCAATCTGGAAATTCAGTCAGGTCAATAAGGGAACGACAATGTGCAGGAAACTGGGGAAAAAGAAAGAAATTCCTCTCTTGTAATTTTGGCCTCCTGCTTTTCTACAGAAAAAAAGAATGGCAGACTTTCCTGATGTGGCTTCTGTGGCCACAAAACTGAAAAATACAGTCATCCAGTACTACAACATTGATGAGAGTGAATGGAGAGTCGCTAAGAAAACAGTAAGTTGCTGTGGCATAACTTGAGCAGCTTCATCTGTTGTGATAACAAATTGTGTGTTCTCTGGAGTACAGAGCTAAAAATTCCACATGATGGGAACAGAAAAATAGGACAACAGATGGGAGTGATTCTGAATTTTACTAAAAATGTGGAACACTAAAAGAAAAAGTGTGATGTGATGATTGCATAACTTAAACCTGGAAAGGCTCCTTTACCTTAGCTGACAATGGAAATCAAGAGCTCACATAAGCATAGTATCATTTCTTTCCTGCTATGAAAACATCTTCAAAAACTAACCTAATCCTGCCTAGTTAGGTTCCAAAATTTGATTTGTCTTCTATTGCACTAATATACATTTTTCCTAGTATCTAAGTATTCTTATCAGTTATAAACTCTGATGCTTCCTTATTAGTGAATTGTAATGTTGGGATGCAAGGTCTATTGACATATTCCCTCCTATGGCCTTGTTGATGAGGAATGCTTTGCCTTGTTTTCTTGATTTGTTATTATTGCTTTATTTAAATTTTTTCTGAACCATCTTTTCAGACTGCATATTCCCACAGTTATTTGCAGAATACTGTGGATGTTAAGACTTATTTGAAAAAAAAGTGGCAGTTTAGTTACATTGAACTGCATTGTATGTGTCTGTATTAACCATATAATGTAGTTTCAAACTGCATTATATGGCAGTGAAGATCCAACTTAAGATCCTATAGAATACTAAAGGAAAGGAGGCCCCACCAGTGTAGCAATGCTGGATCTCCACAAATAGCTGCTGAATAAATGTTTGTGTTCTCGGCCAGCTTCTGAAAGATTGTATTACTGTATCTGAAAATTTTCTTCTGGGCGCTCTGTTGTTTGAAATACTGTTTATGGTATTTTCATTTGGTTAGCTGTTTTCAAGATGTAAATAATGACTAAAAGTCTAAATACTAAATAATGTGTATATGTTTTAATTCTAATTTTAAATTTAAACTTAAGGTATTTAATTGCCTGTTTTCTAAAGCCAACAAATAGGTGCCATTTGTAATAGGTGCCGCCTTGAGTCCCCTTCAGGGTAGAGAAAGGCAGGATATAAATAGAATAAATAAATAAATAAATAAAATAAATACTATACATGTTCATTTTCTTCTACAGAAGGATACAATGGTTTGGCGTAAGCCATCAGAAGAATTCAGTGGATATCTGTAAGTTAACCTTTTATAAAGATAATTTATAAGAGGAGTGTCTGTATTTGTGTTGTAATGGCTCTTTCATCAATGCGTGATGTCCTTAGACGTTAATAACTTCATCAGATGGGGCGAATTAAGCATCCTAGAATGTTTTTACCCCATCTAGAGGACGTAGCCCCACGCTAGACATCACATGGCGTTGTGTGAGTTTTGGTGGAGTCCCACCCACAGCCGGGGTGAAAGCATTGCTGGACACTTTCCCCAACGTGGGAGGCTGCCTGGGCTGTGCTGGCTCCAGTGGAGCCATCATGGGGCTTCTCCCATTTGATGGGGAAACCGTTGCGGAAAGGGAGATGCATGTGGGGCAACAGATTCACCCCGCTGCGCTCTTTTTTCTTCCGGATGGCAGGCAAAGCAGGACACTTAGTCTGGCCTTAATGATGAGGCTATATGACTCCCAGAATCAGATGCTACTGGTCAACATCTATCCACAGTTTAGCCTAATATTCTCTGTTGTTTTTTTCACCATAGCAATTCAAATCTAAATCAAGTATTTGCTCAAGTAGAATAAAGCCATTGAACCCATGGGGACTGCATATGTATCACCTCATTCATATTGATTGATTGGGTCTATCTTAGTTGGGATGAGTGATGCCAATCCCTAAACAGAGGTATTTCCCATGTGGGGGAAGGCTTCCTGACTTAAAATGTTGCTTTTTGGATGTAGCATCTGGAGATGTAGTCATTCAGATATAATTACTTCATAATAGACACATCTATCCCAATGTAGGCTCTTACCCTCTAATTTCTTATGTTCTGTCAGTCACTCCATTGCAGTGTGGGATGCTTTGTAAAATTCAGATATGGAAGTCATAGGATCCTCAGTGGGCTAGTGTGTCCACAAGGCAATGTGAGGAAAGTCAGCTCCTTCTGTACTCCTTCTATTTCCTTAAAAGGGGGGTTGTGTCCTTTTTGTACACAATTCTTGTCTCTCTTAATGTCCGAGTAAACACTGGACTATTATTCCTTTTCTGGAATAATTTTGGAGCTTTAAAATTAACATGTTTCTTTAAAGTTTGAAAGATAGAAGAAATTCCTACCTTTTTGTTCAGAAGAAATAAGCAGAATGACAGATTTTATAAAGAATAAGCTTTTGCTTTGAAAAAAGGGGATTGGTTAATTTGAGGAAAAGTGAATCAATTTTGAACAGGTGATAAATAATTTCAAAATTGTTTATGGAGGGATAATAACAAAAGTTTCTTTAATATTCTTTAACATTCCTTAAAATTTTCTAAGCACCCTTGTGTTCAATCTGGTTCTATAGCTACAAAACACAAGGAATTGTAGAAGATGTCACCAACCGAATAGTAGATCACATCCGCCCTGGACCTTATCGGCTACATTGGGACAGCCTGATGACCACAATGGAAATCGTTGATGAGTTTGAAGAGGTAAGGTTTTGTCCATCCATCATGGGTTCACAGTTCTGTTGCTATTTTATCAAGCCTCTGGTGTAGCACTGGCAATATTTTAACTTTTAATGGACAGTGTGCTCATGCATATATGTGTTTTATTCATCATCCTCTGAGCAACATTCTCTGATATATTGTTCTAAAGCAAGAGTAAGAATCAATGTAAGTGTTCATATATTTTTGGACTGCAACTACTAACAGCCTTAGCCAGGACAGTCAATGGAGAGGAATATTGAGAGCAAAGATACAACAACATCTGGTGAATCTCACAGTTTGCACCACAGCTCTTGCATTCCTTAGGAAAGCTGCTGCTTCTAGGACAGTGGTTCCCAACTTTTGGGTCTCCAGATGTTTTGGCCTACAACTCCCAGAAATCCCAGCCAGTTTACTAGCTGTTAGGATTTCTGGGAGTTGAAGGCCAAAACATCTGGGGATCCACAGGTTGAGAACCAGTGTTCTAGGAGAACTGAAATATTCGGCCATGGTTCAATCAAACCTCAATGATTTTAAGTACTAGTTGTAATAGGATTGTCAGCAGCCACAGTTAAGCAAGTTGAAGCCGCATTGAACTCAGAGTTGATGGTAGCTGGAGCCCAATAAGCTGGAGGGTTCTTAATCACTGCCTTTGACACAAAGCATGTATTATCTTGACACACACATACCCCGAGTTGCTCAATTTAGCCCTTAACGGAAAAGTTGTGAAAAACCTTGCAGAGTTGGTTGGATTTAATGTTGCAAAGTGAATATCCCTTCTGAGCTGCAAGTATGTCATGGTCTTCAAAGTCTCATTGCTTGACCCAGGAGTGACCCCCAGCAGGACTGTCCTGGTTTCAGCACAGCATCATAATGAGTTCTGGACCGGGAACAAAGGCTTTTCCCCTCCCCTGATTCTACAGCACTTTGAGCTTTTTACACTTGCCAGGCATCCATAATCCTGACCTGTGTGACTTTCACCCATTTTTAAAAATGTTGTCTTTTATCCCTTCAAATGCAGACCTGGGTATTTAATTTGTGAGTGAGAAGGGAAGGTGGGATGGAGTCAGGGGAAGGTTCAATTGAATCCTTATCAGCCTTGTACCAGTATAGATGCTTTTGATGGGGAAATGAGTGGATTGAAGACATTCATTTTGCAGTGGTTTCATCATAATAGCAAATTGTGGAAGGTACTTTACAAAACCGAGCTAGATGAGTCAAGAAATGCACAATGATGGGTTTATTTTGGTCTATTTTGGTTTGAAATAATATGTTTGTAGCAAACTTCAGTTCAGATTGAGACCAAAAAGTGGGAGATTTGATTCTCTCTTTTCACACGTCTTCCCCCCACAAATGTTTCCTGACCCTGAAAGTACTTTTTGGGGTGAGAGCATTTTTAGGAAGTCTGTTCTGCCCATACACAAACTGTGATAACTGGAGAAATGCAGTCTGTACAACCTCTGGTATGGTTAGCAACACAAGTGCCGTTTTGTGATCTCATTTCAGAATTGCTGTGTAATGCGCTATACCACCGCTGGGCAACTCTGGAACATCATTGCCCCAAGGGAGTTCATCGATTTCTCCTGCACAACAGACTATGAAGATGGGCTTCTCTCGTGTGGTAATCTCTCATTAATCATCTTCCAACTTCCAGCTTAGCTTTCTAACGTTTTTGTCATGGGCCCCTTCCTCCAGAAAACCATACACATAAACATGTCAGCTTAAAATTTTACATAGTTGATTTTATTGCATTATGCATTTATTTCCTTCACATAGATTAGTCTGTAATGATAAAATTATAAAGAATACTTGAAAAGACAAAATTTCCCCTCAAAGTTCACTGTAACATGAAACATTCAACACAACACCAAGTAAATCAAAGAAGAAGAATAATTTTTGCATCCATGATCTCTCTAGTAGTCCATGGCCTCTTGTTTTCTGATTTGCCAGTAATCTGTTGAAAATGGCTGATAGACTGCATCAAATAATTGATCTGTTTGTGGCTGGTGTCCTCAACATTAAGAATCTAAAGTAACAGACATCATGATGAAAGAGACTCTATTCTTAGCAGGTTAACAAAAGCCACTTAGTATAAATCAGTGCCCCCCCCCCCCCCCGGTGGCACAGTGGGTTAAACCACTGAGCTGCTGAACTTGCTGATTGAAAGGTTCGAATCCAAGAGTGGAGTGAGCTCCCGCTGTTAGGCCCAGCTTCTGCCAAGCTAACAGTTTGAAAACATGCAAATGTGAGTAGATCAATAGGTACCGCTTCTGTGGAAAGGTAATGGCACTCCATGCAGTCATGCTGGCCACATGACTTTGGAGGTGTCTATGAACAACACTAGCTCTTCGGCTTAGAAATGGAGATGAGCACCACTCCCCAGAGTCAGACATGACTAGACTTAATGTCAGGGAAAACCTTTACCTTTACCTGTGGGTCCCCAAATATTTTGGCCTACAACTCCCAGAAATCCCTGCCAGTTTACCAGCTGTTAGGATTTCTGGGAGTTGAAGACCAAAACATCTGGGGATCCACAGGTTGAGAACCACTGATATAAATGAATATAATAATAATAATAATAATAATAATAATAATAATAATCCTTTATTTATACCCCGCTAATATCTCCTGAAGGACTTGGTGCGGCTTACAAGAGGCCGAGGCCCAACACATCAATAAAACAACAGCATAATAAATACAACAATAAATAAACTCAAAAAACAAGCAATAAACATTAGACTCATTTGTTCTAAATGTCTGTGGCAAACAAGCTGTTATCAGCAGGGCCAGCTTGAAAAGTTGGCAACACCATTAAGGCATTCATAAATGCTATTGCACACACAAGAGACTTTCCATGGCTAAAGGTCCTCTTGCTGCATTAGTAGCTGCTGAAATTCCTCATTTTTTTAGTTGGGGTTTCATTGTCAGGCCTTTGAAAATTGATCCCAATAAAATTTGAAAATTTCTGACTCACTGAAAGAAACAGGTGTATTTTTTGTGAGCATCTCAACTCATGACAGTGTTTTATTTTAAAACAGGTGTCAGCCTGGATTATGGAGAAGTAAGACCAAATTTTGTCAGAGGTTTTAACCATCCCTGTGGCTGGTTCTGTTTCCCACTCAAGGACAACCCCAGACACAGCCTGTTGATGGGCTTCATCCAGACCGACCTGCGTGGGATGCTCCCCCAGTCTGCAGTGGACACAGCTATGGCTAGTACGCTGGCTAACTTTTATTCCGATCTCCGTAAAACTCTGAAAGCATGAGCCTTCAGCTCTATATGTTAGCTTGCCATCCTCCTCTGTTCCACACTGTAGATGTTTCAAACCAGAGCTTAGGATAGTTATTTTATGGACCTTAAATTAGAAAAATTCTTTTCTAATCAGTGTTTCGAATGGAAAATTTTTGGAAGTTTCCTGCATGAAGGTCTCATATATTCCGTTGTGGTGTCTTTGGGCATAGACCAATTGGATACATGCTTGTTCTGATGTAAGATTGGTTGAGTTCCCTGAGACCCATTTCTTGAGAAGCCTTCTTCTTGCTCCTGAAGAAAAAACCCAAATAATGTTCCCAGAGCATGTCTGGGAAATGCCTTTGCTCCAAGGCATGATTAAGGTGTTCATTACTTTGTTTTCTAAAATCTATGCTCCTCTGAAGCTTTTTTGTGTCAGGAGTGACTTGAGAAACTGCAAGTCACTTCTGGTGTGAGAGAACTGGCTGTCTGCAGGGGACACCCAGATGTTTTACCATCCTTCTCTCATGTCCCCGCATGGGGAGCTGGAGCTCTGCTCCCCGGATTTGAACTGCTGACCTGTTGCACCCATTGCGCCACTGGGGCTCCTCCTTTCAAGCTGAATTAGTAGGAAGCATGCTTTCACCTTCTTAATTTGAAGATGAGCCTCTACTTCCTTGGCATCCCATTATCACAGTGACCAGCCAAATGTTTTGGCTGAAATTCAAAACTCACTGTACTGTGGACATTTAGTCTAGAGCAGCTGCTAGCTCTTACAAATCCCTCTGCTGGATTGGAGTCTTTTGTGTCCACTTGCTAATGAGATGTGTACGTTTTGAGACATCCACCATGTGGGTAGGGATTGGAAAAGCTGCTTTTGGGAACTGTAAGTCTTTGAATCCACAGGCGGTGTCAAGAAGGTTATTTCCCCCAGCTTATGGATTCATGTTTCCCTACATTGCACTATACATAGGAATGTGTACTCCCAATTGCAATTTTGGACTGCATGTGTATTGTTACCTATGGCCAAAAAAGCAGGAAGGGGGGAGGAGAAAAACAAGACTGCCTGGTTTATATTTCACAATGGGTTTTCATGGCTATAAACCCACTTCTTCAGACACAATAAAAACATTAATATTAAATGTCCGGTTGTAAATCATATTTATACAGTTATGGGACTGGGATAGAATTTACACATTCCCACAACTGTATAAATATGTATTATAACGAGCCTTTAATATAAGTCTACTGCTTCTAAAGTCATGGGTTTATGCCTACCAAATCTCATCTAAAATGAAAACCAGTTAGTCCTAAAGATGCTGCCAAATTTCTCCCCCCCCCCGACTTTTTATGCTGCAAGAAACTGATGCAACTACTATTTTGAAAGTTATCTGTGACTGTATCTGGATTCAAATATAAGTATTTTCACAACACTAGCAAACAGACAACACAGATGAAGCTTAATATGACAAAAAGCACAAGGAGTTTTGATGATAGAAATCATCTTGACTTTTGATGGCAAAAGTCATTGATGCATACCGTAATTTTAAATATAATTAAAATAAGATTGTAATTTTAAAGTTACAAAGAAATCTACATTTAGGGTGCTTAATTCAGATCTTGGGCATTATATAGTTTGCTAAATTTATTATTTGGTGTTTGCCTTCAAGTCATTTCCAACTTATAGTTGATCTTAAAACAAATCTGTCATAGTGTGGGATTGCCTTTGCTTTCTTCTGAGACTGAGAATGTGGGGCCCCTTACACACAGCTGAATTTTCTGCTTTGAGGTGAAATATATGGCAGCGTGGACTCAGATAACCCAGTTAAAAGCAGATATTGTTGGATTTTCTGCCTTAATATTCTGGGTTATATGGTTGTGTGGAAGGACCCTGGGATTGCCCGATATTACCCAGTGATTGAGTAAAGATTTGAACAGTTTATTATAGGATCAAATGTGGATGCTTGCCCAGAGGAGGGTAACCAAAATGGTCAGAGGTCTGAAAGCCATGCCCTAGGAGGAACAGCTTAGGGAGCTGTGTATGTTTAGCTTGGAGGTTAGTAGGTGACTTGATACTCATGGTTCAATGTCATATTGAAGATGGAGCAAGCTTGTTTTCTGTTGCTTCAGAGACTAGGACATGATGGATTGAAACTTCAGGAAAAGAGATTCCAACTGAACAATTTCCTGATGGCAATAATCATAATACACTGCTTTGGAGTATGGTGGAATCCCTTTCTTTTGAGGTTTTTAAACAGCCTAGATAGCCATCTATTGGGACTTCTTTGACTGGGAGGGGATGGGAGGGAATTGGACTTTGATGGTCCTTGTGATCTCTCTCCAGCGCTGTGATTCCAAATGTACATCACATAGTATGCACCTAGGAATAAATATGCAGGAACCTGCTTTTTATCAGAAAATAATGTGTCCTAAGATCAGACCAAAGGTCTGAATATTCCAGCTTTCTGTCTCCCACAGTATTTCACCAGTTACCTCTGAGAAGTCCTTAAGCAGGGCATGAAGGCAATAGCCTCCTCCTGTAATTCTCCCTTAGCAATGGATGTATAGAGGCACATTGGCTGTCTCTTATTCTGGAGGTATTGCATAGCTATTATGACTAGTAGCCACTAATCCCTCGTGTATTTGTCAACTGTTCTTTTAATACTACCTAAATGTAGTTGTGGAGAGACAGACTGATGTAGTGCTTTGAGTGTTAGCCAGAAACTCCAGGAGATTAGAGTTCAAGTCCTTGTTTTGCTATGAAAACTCATTGGGTGACCTTGGGGCAAGTCAGTCTCTCACTCTTGGAAGAAGGTAATAACAAATCTTGCTGAGCAAACCTTAGTAGTTTGCCTTAGAGTCACCATATATTGGAACTGACTTGAAGGCACACAGCAATCGCAACAAGCCTAGTGTCTGGCTATAACTTCTAGATTGGCAGCAAATATCCATGTCTCATGGTCCAGCACATGTTTTCTTTATGGGATGTTTGATATAGAGTTGAGCAAACTGGCCTTGGTCATCTGGCATTAGAGAACAGAAATAAAATGGCCTTCTGCTGTTTTTTCTTCTTCAAGAAAGGGACAGGAATGTGCTTGCAGTGTGTGCTTACTGCATAGCAAATGCAAAGGGAATGCCTTTGATAAAACTCAGGTAATGGATTGTAAATAGCAAAACTGCTGTAAAATAGTAGTATATACTATATTCAGAAGTGATTTCTTCCACGGTTAACCAGGAAAATGGCTCTGCAGAATTATGTATGGCTGTTAAGGCACTCTGGTTAGCTATAGAGTAGCCTAAGTATGCTAAAGGATCCCATCTGATCTTGGAATCTGGGCTGGCCCTGCTTAATACTTGGATGGGAGGCCCCAAATGAATTCTGTATGCAGAAAAATCTTATTTAAGAGAAAGGAACTGACACAATCACCTCTGAGTACTTCTTGAACTAAGAAAACCCTATGATATTCATGGGGACACCATAAGTTCTGCATTTGTGAGGATGCCTGTGGCTATATACTTCTCTGGGGAGCCTGCCAGCTACCCACTGATATCTTGCAAATGAAGAAGCAGAAGTGCTGTAGTTTCCATCTCGAATTCAGAAATGAGTGGCAAGTAGGGTCCCAGAGGAGAGGAAAACCCCGAGCATTGTGCCTGCTGGCTGGGGTTTGCTGCCACTTCTGCTGCTGCCCTGTGCCATTTTAGAAATAAGGCACTCTGGCATCCACGTTTGTTTTGGTATCCACATAGGGTTCTGGAATAAAACCTCAGCAGATACTGAGGGTCCACTGCAATCTAATAAAGTATATTTCCAAGTTCTGGTTTCACTTTGAAAGAAAAGCAATAGTATTAAAGAGTAGTGCTTAGCCTTCTTACTGATCAGAACACAAAAGGAGTTGCACGTTCATAGGACTGGTCCAGTAAGAATGAGGAACACTCTCTTTCTATAGATATATAGGAATGTGTGTTTTAAAGGGCTGGACATGTTTAAATATGCAAATAAATGATTGTTTTTACTCTTGGTTGTTTCCTAATCCTGACCTAAGAGATTTTGTTTCAAAAGGGAGCACTGGCTGGTGACTTCCATGGCAGTAAAATAGTAGTCTGGACTTTGCAGGAACTCTCCAAGGTGCTGAACTTATTTTCAAGACCGGCGTTGCCATTTTGGGTAGCTTATTTAAAGTTTGGAGAGACCTCCTAGAATGGATTCACTATTACAACAACATAGGACCCCTTATCCATATTTTTCAAAAATTAAAAAAATGATAGAGAGACCTGTAGTCCTGTTTCCATACCTAGTTTTAATCCTTAAGAGACAAAACATAATTTGCCATTGGATATATTTTATTAAAATGTGCATTATTATTATCAGCAACAAAAATACCTATTTCAGAAGGTAATATAGTGAAGCATGTGGATATATTTAAAAGCAGCTGTAGCTATTAAAAGTAGAAAGGTATTGCAATGTATTTAATAAGAGTGTGTTCTCTTTCAATAGGACTTCACAGTGCTTACCTTTAACTGAATGGCACTCAGAGTTTAAATATAGGTTTATCATAGTATTTATGAATCTATTCTCAGGAAAATATTTTCCTATGGCTCCTATTCAGGGTCCAGAAAGAATTCATCCGAGAAGTTCAGTAGAATGTGATCTTCTGACAGTTTTGTGATGACTTTTTAAAATTATTAGTATGCTTAGATGATTTGAACAGATGTTTTAAAATTCACTTGCTGGCCCAAGTGACCACAATTTGGCTTAAGGCAAGGAAACTGCTTCTGGCTATCAAAACGATGCCTCCGCTGGGAAAACTGTTTGAGGATTGTGGTATATTTTTATTCTGTGCTATAATTAGTATGCAAGTATTTATATGAGGTGTATATGATGTACATTAAAGTATTAAGTTCAAAATATTTTGTCTTTTTTTTCAAAATAAATAAAACAGGCGACCAGCACCAGACATACACATGAATCTGGTTTCTTTATACCATTAGTTTATCATAGCCATATGGGTCTAAAGGCCTTGAACAAACATCTATCTGAGACTCAACAGAGACTCTGTTAAATCAGGGTTGGTAAGGGCAGCCCAGTCTTCTTGTGATCACCCTCACCATTTTATGTTTGCCAGGGTGCAAAATATTGCACTTGTTTGTCTTCTATGCCATGTATTTGTCCCTCTCCACACTGTTTTAGGCTCAAAAAAACTTTTTTTTTCTAAATGGGAATGAATTTAACGTGACTTCTTTCTTTCGCCTTGGCAATTCCCTTTCAGTGCTGGTGTCACACATGCTACCCAATGATTGCTTATTCTCTTGGCCCTCCTGCTCTGAAATACTTATTTTCTTTCTGTTTTTACTTTCTTTCTCTACAAATATGCCTCCTCTATCTATTTTCACATTAACTCATCTGCAGTACTAGCTTTGTTTTCAAGTTTCTTAGCCTTGGGCTCTTGTCTTGTTGGGGCACAAACACTCCTTATTGTCACAGTGTGAAAATATGGTATATGACTTCTGAAATCATATTTTGAAGTGCCATCCACAGTTACAGATTGCCTGACTACACCTATTGGGAAGCAGCTTTTTATAAGGTATCACAAAGTCCCCCGATCTGTCATTGGAGTTCCACATTCATGTATGGCAGAAGGTCCTCCACACTCCCCCCCCCCCAAACCCTAGTTCCTCTTGTGCAGAGAATGCTCCCAGGTTTCATCCAATACTCGGCTAGTGAAGGGTTATCTATGAAAAAGACCCCACAGCACCCTTTATTCGAAAAGTGAAATGCTAAAAAAATCTAGCTTTTTGTCACTGTCATTTTTATATAGTATCAATTCTAGATCAGGCCCTGAGAAAAGAACTGTTTTCTCCCCCTTTGATGACGTAGTAATGGAATTCTGTGAGGGAACTTCCTTTTAAGTTTAACTGCCCTGGGAAGGCCATGTGGTCCCCACCATTCCTCTTCTGCTTTTCTTTCTTCCAGTGAAGATGCATTTTGCCTCTCTGCAGGCAAAATATAGCTGCATGGGCTTTTTAATCTTTTACCTTCTTTAGAAGATGAGATTTAGTAAGCTAGTTAGCTCCAAGGCTTTTCTATCAAGAATGTATTTCTTTTACCTTAATAAATATTTTGAGCCCAAAGTTCTGACTCTGCAATCCTGAGCCATCCTAAAGATTAGAAGGCTATTCCTTCTCACCACACATAAGTTTCTGCTGCTGATGGAGTTTACTTCTGGTACTCTGCTATATTTTGGTGGAATTACCCTAACGGAGGGTTATTTTGAGCCTAACAGCTCAGATTTCCCAACAGAATGACAATCAGGAACCCAAGTCTTACTTCTTTATTTTCATATGGTACATGCAAATCACTTCTTAAACATTTCAGCGTCCACTTGTATCATTTTGCAGACATCGGTTTCCCGATTATATGAAAAGACTAGGTAAGTTCCATTTATTAAAGCTTCAGAAAAGGCAAACAAGTGTCTAATTCAAAGTTCTCCCTTACTTTACATGGAAGTGAGATCCTTTGCCAGCTTGATCAGTCATACCTGTGTTTATATCCCGTGTGCACTGCCAGAAATAGATGCTTTTTGATTGGGTCTTGAATTAATATGGCATATAGATGAAAACATGCAGTGGAAGCACCTGAATACAGACCAGTATTGTCCAAGTCTTTCTTATGTTCTTTTTTGCTAATGCCATTTGTATAAAATACATTTCACTTTAACCATATCATTTTCACACACAGAAAAAAACTTGAGACCATAGTAATAAAATCTGAGTGCCTTAGATCATGAAACACACAGTTAAAACATATTTAAATTCATTGGAGCTATGATCTGTACTTGGGAGTAAGTTCTACTAAACTTGATAGGAATTAACCTTGTGTTGACAAGGACAGTGCGATAAGTGTGCTTTTAGGCAGCAATCTTCTATATAATTGGGACTAAAGTCCCACTGAAATTTTTTGCATGATTCAAACTCTGTGAGATTGTGCCCCCTCTGCTTTTAAGATATACACATTCCAGTAGTGTGCCAACCGGGAACTGGAGCAGAAAGAGAGAACTGGTATGCCTTCATCGATCAAGTAAAAAGCTATATTTAGTATTAATATTCTGCATTCACAACATTTCATATATCTATTTATTGTCACAATCTTTACAGTAGCCCTGTAAGGTAGGCTGGAATTAAATTCCAATATTGCACATAGGAGGTGGGGAAGCTGAGGTCAAGCAACCATGACTGCCTACTAAGTACCAAAGCCATGCTTTTAGGCTTCAGCGCTATGCATTCTGCCGTGGGAGTAAGTGCCGTGGCACTCCACAGGGCTTAAGGTTAAACAACTATGTGTGATACCTTGCTTTTAAAAAAACACTTAATAACACAACCCCCCACAAGAATCAAATATATCACACTCCTTTGTTTTGCCATGATAATTGTTATTAGAATATTCCATCTAGCAGGGATACGGACTTCAGATTAAGACTTACTGATGTGGATTCCTTGCAAATGTACTGAAAATCAATCACAGTAGAGGTTTAATGGTAAGGTTTTGTTCCATCTATTTGATGGAAATGGAGCAATACACAATTTCAGAGCTGTACTGTTATGCCTTAACCACCCTGCATTACTGTCTTTCAATTTCGCATGATGGTGTCTTTTAAGCATCCGATGACCGATTTCTGTAATAGCGAAACCACTCTGCTATAACATATAATATAATAAAATTCCACCTAACAAGCAAAGGTATGGATGGGTTATGAACCTGCTCACATCATCTGCAATTTCATTACTATGGGAGATGGATAGCACCAATACTGTGTGGCATTTTCAATTCCCCAATATTTTTAACTAGCCAAAGGCTCAAACTGACGTATCCAACTACAGTTGGAGGTTGGTTCTGGGATGTATTTTGTCTTTGCAGATGCTTTGATTAGCCCTTCAGAATTCACTGGTACTAAGATGCTGAAACTCTTAACGTTTTGTTATTGTTCTAATGACTTTCAGGTCTCTACTATTGTGCTATTCTATGTATCATTAAAAAAATCCCCTATCTTTCTTGAAGGATTGTTCTATGAAAAGAATGCACCATAAACTTATAAAAAGCTACTAAAGCACTACATTTTTTTTCTGTAAGCAACAACTTGGTCCTAAACCCAGGCTGCATCCCCGGACCGCTAATGTTGCAAGCCATTTATGTCAATGGGCCATGCATCTGCATAGCAAGACCCAGAAATTGTCACCTTCCAATATTAAAAGTGTGCACAAGCTCCTCATGAACAGTGATTGCCATTCCTCTTGAATATACTTCACAACCCACTGGCAGCTTCAGAGCATTGTCCTTCACAGAAGATAAAGAATTTTTCCTTTATATTAAATGTTACAGATCATGCAGCTCTTCCCTATTCATGTTCTCTGAATTGTTCTGTTCTCCAGTCAATAATTTGCCATTGCAAATATAAAATCCATCTCTATTTTTCCCCTTCCAAGATCTTGGAATGTGTTTACTTTTTGTGCTTGGGTCAACAACTCTTTGTGCTAAAGAAACATTTCTGTCACCTCAAGTTCGAATTATTTATGCACTGAATATGTGTCAAAACCACACAACACATTTTAAAAAATCATATCAGACTTTCTCTGAAAAATGAAGTGTGCTGTTCTAATTTTCCAGGCCTCATATAAATAATGCAGTAGAACAGAAAACACAAAATCAGTTCATACTTTCTGTGCATACTCTTATCTCAGCTAACATTTGGATCCGAAATGTTTCTAAATAATTAAGAAGTAAGGAATAACTGCCTATCTGTCATTGCCGAAGTACTTGAAAAGCAACTTAAATTGTAATCCTGAATCCACGTATTTGGGATTAAGTCCTAGTAAATTAAATAGGGCTTGCTTCTACCTTAGGATTGTGCTGTAAGAAAACTGTCACTTGCCATTTTCTTTGTAATGCATCTATTTAGAAAGTCACATGCTATAAAATGTATTACAAATGAATACTTGTTGTTCTGCGTTTTCCCTCCATCCACATCAGACAAAGTTCTTAACTCCTTTTCCTGCAGGGAAACATTTGAATTTACCCTGATATTGGTCTTTATTGGCACTTCCATAATCATTCACTCTACCATCAGAGGTAAATAAAACCCCACCCAACTGCACACCTCTGGTATCCTCAGCTAGGTAAGCATTTCTGTTGTTTACTTCAGCTTCTTGATTGTTTCCCAACTGGAAAGTCCTCACATTGTATATCCTTCCTCACTGTATACTCACAGATTCGGAGCTGTGACTAATTCCAACTGGCCTTTAACAGTGGCACCTACCGTCTTTATTTGTGTACTGTTTTTAGTATTTTCTCAGTCATCACAGATACTGAAATGTCAGAAGTCTGACAGATATTTTGGAGATCATCAAAACAGTGAGTGATAGAGATAAGGCATTCTTATCATCGGCTTCAGGAACATACAATTTCATAACACTTCAAAGGAACATTTCAACCTGTCATAAGAATGTGCGGAATGTTTTTGCATATAAATTCCCCTATTGTAAACAGTTTGCACATTATCACTGTTAGATGCAAAATGTCTCCACATCCTGTTTTGAGGGGGGGAAAAAAACACCTGATGGATTTGAAGTGTCCCATCAATCTACTGAGTGATTATGAGTTTGAAAGGAAGCATATCAAAGAAATGTCATGATCTCTAGGAAATGCCTAACTTGTATTAACCAGAATCCTCACTCCTTTCAGAGATTATCTATAAACATTGTATATGAGATATATGTGTTGACCACAAGGAATCTCCCACGCTCCCTACTCTCTTGGTATCACTGTACATATCACTTTATCCATGGCATGCCAATAAAAGACTGTTTACTATTTTTTTCAGAAGCAGTCACATGCATTGAAGTTCAGGTCACCAGCTAGTGCATTTTGCATCTCAAAGCAAAGCCTCCCCAGAAGGGTCAATGCTTATAATTCTTTCCCGCTGAATGGTAACTTGGCTGGTGCATGAAATGACACATCTCAGCTGAAACAAATACCCTAAAATCTAAGGCTCTTCAGGTGCTTCTTCCTGAAAGACCACTGGTTGAGATTCAACAAAGCTTGCTGCGTCTTCATTTCCCCCCAGTCTCTCATCAGAATCGCTTTCTGGACCACGTTGGCTTGACTTGCCATCATGACTGCTGTGGCTGCTTGCGCTTCCAAGGCGAGTTGATGCAACAACAGCTTTCACTGCAGCCTGAATTTTTAAACAAACAAGCAAACAAATAAAGACCACAGTTAGATTGCTTGGTTTGTGTACTCTGGCTTTGTTAAAGTGAGGTAGTAGTAATCTGTTCGAAGCAAGAAGACAATCACTTCATAGTATTTAAAGAGATAGCAAGAGCAGTTTTAGCATAAAGGGAGCCCATAATACCTTTGAGACTAGTAGGTTTATTCTAGCTTAAGGTTCAATACGGAGATTGGGAAGTTCTGGCTCTGAAGGCACACACAAAGCCCCACCCAATCTGCAAGTTTATTATACTGATAATTGATAAGAGGCTATCTGAAGCCTTGTTAAGTTGTAAGCCTGGCTATTTATTTATTTATTTCATTTTCCACACTTATATCCTGCCCTTCTTGACCCCAAAGGGGACTCAAGGTGGCCTTACAAAGGCAACAGTTAGATGCCGCGTGTACACATATCATTGATAAATAAACAAAAACATTAAAACATTAAAACCAACTAGTTAAAACATCACATTAAAACAACAATTTCAAATAGCTTTGCCTGTAACTATTGCCTGTAACTGAGCTCTAGTTTACAGACAAGGAAGAATTTGCATGGAACAAGAGCTTTGGTTTGCAGTCCGGTATCCTAGACTGTTACATAATGTCTGAATTAACTCTATCCAGACTTGTATGTGTAGGAGTGGAAATGTATCTCCTAATTACTAAAAGCATTGTGGGAAATAATATTGAATGCAATGTTTTATATGCTTTAATATTTATTTATTTTATTTTATTTTATTTATTTATTTCGAGGTTTTATATACCGACCCTCTCACCTTCAAAGAGGGATTCGGACCGGTTCACAACATGTGTTAACATACAAAAAATATACAATAACAACACAATGCCACTTCATTACACGGTTAAAATATCAGCACTATACACGTTAAAACATTATCATCACAGTTATGATAATATGCATTTAATTTAAATTTTTAACTGAAGTGTATTCTGTTGTCCAAAGCCATTGAATAGTTGACATATGTAGAGCCACCTTGAGTCCTCTTCAGAGTAGAGAAAGGTGTGATGTCTAATTTTCAATAAGCACCTCCCTATCCCACAACTTATTCCGTTGACAAGGTTCACCCAAAGAATGAAGGTGGCCAGAACAGAAAAGGACAAAAGCACAAGAGAGCAACCTGTTACTTGAGAAAATTGACTCCCTTCCTGGCATGGGAGGTCCCTTTCCACCCCCAGGAGGCCAGTGCTGAATTCAAACAGGGGAATTCAAGATTAAGGATGAAGATCTCAATACATTACATTGGTCAGGGAAAAAATATTTCAGTGGTCAAATGAAATAGGTTATTTTTGTTCTATTTGTTTCTGTTAGTTTGTTTTAAAGCATTATGCAAAGTAAGTAGCTGAAATTTACTGTGGACTAAATCCAATCATTGTGCCCACCTAGAGAAGAACCATTGCATCAATGCAATATATAAAAATGTTGACTTACTTCTTGGCAGGGGGTTGGACTGGATGGCCCATGAGGTCTCTTCCAACTCTTTGATTCTATGATTCTATTGATTCTATGATTCTACTAAATTCCATTTATTCAATAGGTTTGCTCTGGTTGGGACTAACAATTAGATTCAGGCTAGAGATTATTACTGTTTAGGTGACTGTGCCTCACGTAGTACATCAATCTGAGTGTCGAAGCTGCAACAAAAACTGACTCTTGGGGACAAATCTGTCCAGGACATACCTTAAGTTTACGCCGAGCATTGAATTCTTGGAGTTTCTTCTGGGCTGTATCCATATGTGCAAAATTGGCAGCCTTTCCTGTGACCCAGGGATGCTGCAGAGCTTGGAATGTAGTAAGACGCTTCTTGGGGTCAAGCACAATTAGCTTCTTTACCTACAAAATATGAAAAAGTAAAAAAAAAACACCACTCTACATTTTATTCTTTTAGTTTTATAGGCTGCAGTCCAAAGATGCTACTATACACTTTGTCCAAAACTCTTCTGAAGAGAGCATCAATCTGAGGATCCAGAAGGTGAAAGAAAGGCTTCCTCCCCTAGCTATGCAACAGCACTTGGGTGACTTCTGGGTTCAAGTCTGTCTCTGGCCTGGACCTGCACCTGGGGAAGGAAGCTCTGCTGTCATCCTTCAACATAAGGCTGCTCAGGTGCAAAATAGAACCCATGGTCTTTTCAAACTACAGACTTGGAGTATTATAATTCCATTTTATTTACAACATCCTATGGTATCCTGGGGTTTGTAGTTTGGTGAGGCACTAGAGCTCTCTGGCTGAGAACTTAAAGTATTCCCCCTAAACTGTATCAGTTAGGATTGCAATTGCCATAGCAATTTAACATGGAATATAGTGGTAGAGTTATGCAATGTGAAAGGGTCTGGATATAGACCGCCCATGACCCCACGGCCAATAAGTGGCCAAGGAAAGTTGTCCAGCAGCAAATCTGTTGTTGCACAAGGAAGTTCAAGCAGATACTTGGGGCTACAACAATGTACTTTACCAACAGGATCCTGGTATTTATTTGCCAAGACTTGTATTTCTGATAAATGATTGCTGGTTGCACAATCCATCAGCTCCTTGGTAGGATTCCAATTCTGATGCACAAGGCCAGGATCAGGTGGTGGAACCCTGAAGCAGTTCCAAAAACACTGCTTGTTTGGTACACATGTATGAGCTCCCACATTAGGAGGATGACTTTGTGCTGAGGTGGCATTGGTAGGCCAAGAACCAACCTCCTTTGGACCTAAAAGGGGGAGTGGAAGTGGTCTTCCTCTTTCCCTCTGTCATGAATGAGACTAAAGTCTCAGGAGCAACCAACCAATGCACTATCAGCTTCTTTGCTCAAATTGCAGTTGGAAAGGGGGGCCAAGTGGGCAGAAAACACTAACAACCTCGGGAAGGACAGGAGAGAAATGTCTCCAGATCTCCTTTCTCAGGAGAATGGCTCTTTTGACGGAATTACAGTAGAAGAAGCGTATGTACATATATAATGTGTAACACCAAGAGCAACATGAGGTCACTGGCCATTGGAAGATCTCATGTATTTGCTACAGTTTTATCACTGATAATCCAACCTTGCTAATGGGGAAAGAGGAATTGAACTAAATATCTTCTTCCTCACCCACTGACAGCTTTGTCAATGTTAAAAGTGCCCAGCTCCTAATGTGTGGGTCATGCAGCGTTTTCATTGATCATTCATGCTGGCAAAATACATGTATATAATGACATACTTTTTCATCATAAAGTGATTAATATCCAATTTTATTTAGATTCACAGTGTCAAATCTAACCTAAACAAATTATCAAGAAATTGAAGAGGAAAAACAATGTCTTAGGTCTAAGGCTCTCGCATGTCCTTGTGCCATTGGTCAGTCTCCACCTGAATGCAACCATGAGTCACAGTTCTCATTTTAGCATTTTATAAAAACTATGTTTCCATGGAGTTTCCACACATTCAAAACAATCCTTAGTATCCTAAAATCAATGATGAAAATTGTTGAACATACCAAGTCCTTGGCATTCAGAGACACATCATCCCACCAAGGGGAAACAAAATCATATTCACAATTCAGAATTCTCTTGAACATGTATTGGTCTCCTCTTTCATCATAAAATGGTTCAAAACCACAAAGTCTGGAGAGAAAACAAGAAATAAATCAGTGATACGGCTTGATCATATAGACAAGCTTTACCATTCCTTACACAAACAGTATTTTGCATCTATATGAAGGTATACCAAAGTGCTGGATATTCCTGGATAGTGGAAGTTACAGGATCATCACTTATCACGAACTATAATGGGTAGTGCTTATAGGAACTGAAGTTCAACAGCATCTAGAGGAGCACATCTGTGCTATATTTCCTTTCTCGAATATGGATATTAAAAATATCTGGATTCTAGTAATCTTACAGAGATTCTCAAACTCTGGTCCTCCAGGTATTATTATTATTATTATTATTATTATTATTATTATTATTATTATTATACTACGTTTATACCCCACCCTTCTCACCCCAGTAGGGGACTCAGGGTGGTTTACAATCCATGGCATACAATGCTGCATTACACATATAATAATAAACATAACATATGAATTTAAACAATTAACATATCAATTTCAAACATACAATAATAATCATGAGATAATAATTCAAATATAAATACAATAACAAGCTTAGAAGTAATTCAAATAGAAATACAATAAAAAGATTAAAAGTAAACATACAATAATTCAAATATAAATACAAAAAAGAGCTTAAAAGTAAACATTGAATCCCAACCAAAGTGAGCTGATGGAAAAAGTGGTCTGAAGCAACAGGAGAGGCAGGGGAACCCCGAAAATGAGCGCCCACACAGGTGTTCCAATGTCCAAATGATGGGCAGTGTGGCTATGGAGGCACCCGGTGCAGGTATTCCAGCAGCCGGGCAATGGGTGGAGTGGCCATTAAAGTAGCAGCGCAGGTTGCGGGGGCCATGTTCTCTCCCTGCTGGGTCAGCTGGCTGGAATGAGGGTGTGGCTGCAGGTCTCCTCGTGGGTAAGCCCAGGGCTGAGCAGGCAGCAAAGCTGGATGGCAATACTCGGGCCCCAGGGTCCCTCTTGCAGCAGAGCCCAACAAAGCTCTTCCAGGCCTCTAGGTCAAACCTTTTATGTTCTCTCCTTAGATGTTGCTGGGTCAGCTGGCTGGAATGAGGGTGTGGCTGCAGGTCTCCTCATGGGTAAGCTCAGGGCTGAGTAGGTAGCAAAGCTGGATGGCAACACTCAGGCCCCAGGGTCCCTCTTGCAGCAGAGCCCAACAAAGCTCCTTTTGACTTCAACTCCTAGAAACCCCTGCCAGCTTCCCAGCTGTTAGAAATCGTAGTATCTGAAGACCAGAACACCCGGTAGACCAAAAGTTGGAAACCACTGTCTAAAATATTTGTGTATGAGAGAGAGGGAGCCTTTAAGCACGTGGCTGTGGAGTCAGGCCTTCGATGAATGAGGACCCTGGATGGAAGTTGATGTAGATCCATCTTAATAGGACGACTGACCACTGTAGTTTTATATATAGTGTTTTTAAAGTTGTTTTTGTAATTGATATATGATATTTTAATGAGTGTATATGTTTTTTTATGGCTGGAAACCGGGCTGAGTCCCTCAATGAGGTTGAGAAGCTCGGTATAGAAAACTGTGAAATAAATAAATAAAATTTAAATTGCTTGTCAGTTTATGGTGAACTCATGCATTTTATAGCATTTTCTCAGGAAGTCCAAGGTAGTTCTGACAGTTCCTTCCTCTGAAATATAGACTACAGAAACTGGTATTCATTGACAGTGTTCCATTCAAAGATTAGTCAGGGCCTTTTTTGTGTGTCAGGGGCAACTTGAAAAACTGCAAGTTGCTTCTGGTGTGAGAGAATTGGCTGTCTACAAGGACATTACCCAGGGTATGACCGGATGTTTGATGTCTTACCATCCTTGTGGGAGGCTTCTCTCATGTCCCCGCATGGGGAGCTGGAACTGAGCTCAACCTGCTCTCCCTGGATTCGAACCACTGACTTGTCGGTCAGCAGTCCTGCCAGCACAAGGGTTTAACCCATTGCACCACCATGGGCTCCAGGGCTGATCCTGATTAGCTTCCAAGATCAGACGGGATCTGGGACCTTTGGGGTATTTAGACCACTTTCATAATTTTGAAATTTTAAAATGCTTCCATATCAAAGGTTGGCCCACACACTGAAAAATACTGTATAGAATTGTATTCCCAAAACACTGCTATTTCAGAATGTAGGAGGTAGTGGGCATATGTTGATTTCCACATACAGTTTTTCCATTCATAAAAAAGCAAAGTTTTCCATAAATCCCTCAGAATTATGGCCAGTAACCATATTGAACTTGGAAATCTGGGAGCTGCAGCCCAAATAAGTAAGTGTTCCAAAATCTGATTAAAAACAAAATAACTACTACATCAAAGGAAATAGCTGCAGGTCCACTGGCCTTCTCTTTGAAGTGGTTATGTTCCCACATGAATGACTCTGTTAAGAACTGGGGATCTAAGACATGGAGAATTTTAAATCTATCTTTCTTAACAGTATTTTGGAAGATTTAAAGTACTGGGGAAAAAAACTGAAAATATCTAATATTGGCTGTTGGTGGAAGTAAAAGGACATTAAAATGCCGATGTGTGAGTGCATTTGTGTTTGTGATTAGGGATGCACACATACATGTAGGTGCCTTCTTATGACGACTATATTAATACATACCATATTACTTGCAAATATGGTATGCACTAACACTGCCACCTAGTGTTATTTTTAGGGAAGAGAATGAAATTAGTCTGGTGGAAGATCCTCTTCCATTACCAGAAATGATGAAGGATCCAACTGCATGTTCTGTCATCTTTTATATATAGAATGAATGGCAGTGCCATCTTGTCTTTCTCTTCAGACAGCCAAATGGTTTTGGCCAGTCTTCACTGAATAGGTATAAATGAGTGTGAAAGATTAGGGGTTTATCTACACTAGCCACCAAACTCAGGATCAGAAGTTGTTCCTGGATGCCCAAATGACATCCAGGGACTTTTAAGTGCTTAATGAAGGGTAAACCAGGTCAAGCAAAATCAGTGAATGCTCTGGAGTTTTGCTGAAACTCTAGAGCAGGATTAGTGCCTGATTTAGGACAAATGAGGCCCTGTGCTAGTTGAGTTATGAGGACCTTTACTTGGGCCTTGAAGGAGATAGGCCAGGTGGCTTGTACTGCCTGCTGTGTGACATACTCCCTGAGGGATTTATGGAAAAGTTTTCCATAATCCTGTGGAAAACAACTATAAACTATCATTATATCTGGAATCACTCTGAAACAGAATGCTTTCAAATTTAGAATTTCACCACATCATCAAAATTAATCATAAATGGTTTTTTTTTCAGGAAGATGGATCCCTTGGCCAACGGGGCCCTGTGCTTAAGCACACCTAAGGCACAATGGTAATCCAGCACTGAACAGGCCACACTTTGGGCAGAGTGTGGACAGTATCACTGGCTTTGGAGCAAGTTGGTCTGTTGCTTACATAGCCTCTTTCCACTTGGCTTGGCAGTGCAGAGAAAAGGAGACAGGTTGGGCATTTGTTGACCCTCGTTACAGTAGCAGATGGCCACAAAGCTCTGGGAGGGTTCTTGGATATCTTGTTCACCTTTGCTGATGTCATCAAAGCATCTGACACTAAGGCCACCCAGCAGCAGCAATGGTGGCAAGAAAGGTAAGATGACAGTTCAGTAGGCTGAACCAATTTCAGACCAGTTGGGTCATAAGAACTCCATCACACTGCCACTTGGGATGGACATATTCCATGTGACTGCCTGTGAGCCCAGTCTGGAGTATTGCTATTCCAGATTGGCTTTGGTTTTTGTAGTAGGTATAGATAAACCTTAGGCTTTCAGCCATCACCTTCCAGAGTTTATCATCCTGGAATACACAAACAGAAGTAGGATAATTAATGATGGTCAAAAACTCCTGTTGGGTTGGGTGGGGAACTTTGTGATAGAACTGCCACCAAATCCAATACTAGGGCAGAAGGTGGAGGAGAGCTGATTCTCTCCTCACTCAGTTATTTTTTCCTTTCCCTGCTTCTCCCATTGAAGTCATGGGGAAGTTATACATTATGTCAACTCCATAAGTGACTTAGTTTAGAGTCTTTAAGGGTATTTGTCTGGGCAATGTCAGTGTTGTAGATGCACCCTTATTAATCTGAGGATGTATTTATGACACTATAGAATTAATGCATTTTCAAACCACTTGGCTCAATGCTATGGAATCATGAGAGTTATGTTTTGGTAAGGTAACAACACACTTTGGCAGAAAAAGGCTAAAGACCTTGTAAAACTACAACTCATGTGGATCTATTGCACTGAGTCATGGCAGTTAACATGGTGACAAACTGCATTAATGCTACAGTGCAGATATGCATCCCAAGCCTTCCTTTTATACATCTCCTTTTGGGGGCAGCCACATCTGGAACACCAGGAATATGGCAATAGCATCAAAATTTTCTTAAGATCTTTGGAAAGGTAACTTTTTTTTACTATAAAAGATCCCAACTCTGTGTTTTTGGCAATGACATGGAGGGAGCTGGGCCAATTTCTTCCATGAAAGAAATTGGTAAACAGCATCCAGAGAGTTTCTACTTGTGCTCTGCAAGAATATACACAAGTATTGGAAGGAGAAGAGAACCCAAGAGTACCTCGAGAAATAGTTAAATGTGTTTGTACCTGGAGCAGAAATCATTTCAACATCAGTAAATCTAACCCCTTTTCAGTGAAGAAAATGGATGCTATCCTCTCATCAGTTATGCATGAGGAGGGAGAACTGTCTTCAGAGGGGATTGAGAAGCAAATAAAGAGCAGGAATAGCAGCCAAATTTCCCCATTCACCAGTTTTGCATTTCCTAGGGCTTATCATTTTACAAGAAAGTAAAACAGATCGCTTTTGTGCCATATATGGATGAGTCAATTAGTTTTCCAGAACACTCTGCTGGGGCTGGAATTGTTTTGCAGACAATTCTACCTTTTCTGGAATGTACAGACAATATGTCTCTGTGTGTAAGAGAGACTAAGCAATAACCATTGGTTTTGACATCTGTAACTAGAATAGCTATACATCTCCAACTACATCTTATACAGCAGAAATAGCTCTTTTGGATATACTGACTATCACAACATCTATTCAAGAAAGGATTTTCTAAATCAGCAAATAGTTGGAGGAATCCTGCTAATGCTTCCTTTATGTGCCATGGTAGCTACACTTTGGGAGGATGTAATGGCACAAGTGGATTTATTTTTGGGAAGTTCCTTGATATTAAAGTATGTGGATTTTTGTGCACATTTGGCTAATAAACATTCATACTTTGTTTCTGGAAAGATTCTTATTCTTCACTTGTGATCCAATGGATAAAAAAAAAATCTAACAATGGCTGATTTTGGTCAAAAAATATTTAGCCACTTGTGCCCCTTCTATTTTTATCAGATTTATACTTATTTATGCAATGCTTTTGATACGAAATAAATAAAGAAAGTGCTGGGAGACCAGGGTTTGACTTCCTGCTTTGTCAAAGTGAATCACATGCCCTCAGCCACAGAAACTTTGTGATAAGGTTGCCATAAATTGGAAATGACTTGAAGGCACACAACAATAATAACAACCTCTCTCACAAAAGGTAAATATATTTCTGGATAGTGAGGCACAGACACTGCATACGAGAAAACATCTTTGATTACCTCTGCTTATAGAGACCAGAAAGCTTCTGTAAGGAAGTGCTACATGCCAAAACACTGCATTTAATGAGGGCAGCATTTGTAGGCTATTTAAAGCTGGCCTGCCCCCTAATGTGCCTCTTCAGTTTCTAAATGTGAAGAAAATTTCATGAGGGGCACTGCTGCAGCCCACTGGGTACACCAATGGTTTTAACCTCTTCATCAGAAGTCACGCCTTGTGTCACTCTGTGTTACACTTGTTGGGGCGGTGAACGGGTGGGAGCCGAGTCAGTATGCAAAAGAAAAAAGCAGGATGATCTCCCTGCAGTCCCACAATCTGGCATCTGCTTTCTTTTTCCTGGTACTGTCTTCAAAATGGCACAATCTGTGATAGTATTATGTGATAATATCTCTGTGCAAAAAAATAGTGGCTACAAATACCAGGAGGAGCACATGCAGTGGCAATGAAAATAGTGGACAAGACGAATTACTCAGACTCAAGAACAGTATTACTCAGACTCAAGAAATTCAGTCTCACATACAGGTCTACAAAGGCTCAAGGCTCATGATGCCAAATGATGGTTTAAAAACAAACCGGATTTTCTAGAGCAGCACAAACTGCATGCAAGTGAAGTATTTGTAATTGTGTGCCTTCAAATCATTTCCAACCTACAGACATAGTCCCACTCTATTCTGCTTTGGTCAGACCTCATCAGGACAACTGAGTCCAGTTCTGTGCACCGCAATTTAATAAGGTTTATGACAAGCTGGAACGTGTCCAGAGAAGGGTGACCAAAATGATCAAAGGTTTGGAGACCAAGCCCTATGATGACTGGTATGATAGTCATGTTTAAATACTTGAAAGGCTGTCACATTGAAGAGGGGGGGGGGGTATAGCTTCTACATGTCCACATGGACAAATAAACAAAATTGAGGTTGTTTTTCTGCTTTTCTGATAACTAGAATACAAAAATGGATTCAAATTGCAGGAAGCCCATCTAGACATGAAGAAAAACTTCTGGACAGTAAGAGCTGTTTGGTGTTGGGAGATGCTATCTCAGAGGGTGGTGGTCTCCTTCTCTGAAGGTTTTTAAGCAGAGGCCGGTTGGCCATTTGTCCAGGGTGCTTTGATTCTGTGTTCCTACAGAAGAGACAGTTGATACAGTTAAAAACTTAAAATTTAAGAGTTCAATTAAACTTACAAGATGTAGGTGATTATTCCTAAGGACCACATGTCTACTTCAGGGCCATAGGCACATCCTCGTAGAATTTCCGGTGCTGCAGATGACAAAAGCCTTGTCAATAAAACAAAAGGTAAATGTAGGAAGAATAACACCAAAGGGGAATAGCTGTCAATACGTATTTTCTATTTTCAGAGAACCTTATACCCATCCAAAATCCAGTTGAAATTCCTATAACTAATGTTCTATATAACTATTGTTCATGTTTCTTTTTTTGCTCTATTTTTATGTTAATATTTGTTTATATATATGTGTGTGTGTGTGTGTGTGAATATTTCTTTTTTTTAAATCCAATTTCAAGAAAAATAAAACAAAATGAAGGACCTGAAAAAAAGAATTAAACAAAATCTTCTGGAAACTTCCTAAAAGTTGGGTGTACCAAAAAAACAAAAAGAACAACAAAATTTCCAAATTTGTTTCAGCATTAGTTTTGTAGAAAGGGGAAAAAAAGGAAATATATTTGACTTTCTTCTAAACATGTTCATCTTCACAAAGTATCTAATTTTCATTTTAATCAACCAAAATATGATACACTTAAATCAGCGCAAATAAATAAATTAATAAACACAAAAACTTTCCCCCTTTTCTATTATTTAATTTCTTATGATTTAGACTTTAAAACACGATATATATATATATATATATATATATATATGCATTTTCTCTGCATCTTAATCAGTGGATTATCTGAGATGCTCCACATAGGTTACACATTTTAATCTATTATTTTCATTTTACGGTCGACTGCTTTGACAGCCTAGAGCGATGCATATATTGCAGAAATTAATTATTAATGAACAACTAATACAACTGTATCTCATTGTACTAGTCTGTTTCACATCTTTCTTGCTTAGAGTCCTGTTATTGTCTGCACATTAATTTTGTTGCTTTGGTTAATTTTTAAAGCCCCTATCTTTTATTCAAGGCTGAGGGATCTCTGATATTAAAAACCCTGAGGCTTCCAGTGCATTAAAGCACACAGATTGTTCATTCTATCAAAATGTGAAGTAATCTAATCTGAACACCTCCTAAACATTTTAAATATTTAACGCTACATTAAAATAATATGTGTCACTCATAAAAAGGCAATAGATAGTGGGAAATAAATGCCTGGAGGTGTGTGAACATACACATTTTCTGGAAATCCTTTCTGTCTATTTGTTCTGGGTTCAGAACCTTCCATACTTGATATTTTACTGTCAGATCAGACACTATTGGAAGAGAATCCCAACTATTCCCATAGACTGATCAATAAATAGACTGTATTTATTGATCCTCAAACAAAATCTCTACTCTTCCAGTAGACTGATCAATAAATAGGCTGTATATATTGATCACTGAACAAAAGTCCTATTGCATGAATGGAAATATATTCACATGACTAAGGTCAAGACTGTAGGTATAGTTCATTAAAACGTTGGCAAATCTTTTGAAAATTATTTAAATAATTATATTGTTGTTGCTGCAAGTATCTCTGTAGATCTTAGGAAGCTGTTTCTTGATTTCAGTCGTTGACATGCTGGCTAATATCCAAACAGAGCTTGGGCCGGAGATGTCAAACACCTCAGCAAGCAAGAGTCCAAAAGTGGCAGGTTAAAACCCAGAACCTCAATCAGTGGCAGAGACTGGATGAGAAACTCCCTCCTGGGCACACAGACGACTGGGCGTCTTGGAAGACACTAAACAAAATGTGTTCTGGCACCATGAGATGCAGAGCCAACCTTAAGGATGGGGCCACAAAGTGGAGTCCATGACATATGAGTGTGGAGAAAGGCAAATCACAGTCCACCTATTACAATGCAGTCTGAGCCCTGCCACATGCACAATGGAGGACCTCCTTACAGCAACACCAGGGGCACTCCAAGTGGCCAGCTACTGGTCAAAGGACATTTAGTATAATGCCAAGTTTTTAAACCTTATGTTTTCTTAATACAACTRTACCCTTGGTTCACTTCTAATACGGAAAATAAATAAATAAATAAAGTTAGGTTTCTATATGTTAGGCATTAAATTTTGCCATAATTATGTTGGAAAGTACTTTGAGTCCCYCATTGGGATGAGAAAAGTAGTATACAAGTGAAGTAAATAAATAAATAAATAAATAAATAAATGCATACATAAATTGGTTTTTGTCAACTTTTAATTCAGTTTTATTATTTGGGGTACTGATTCAGAAAATTCCATTTGATAAACCACATCAACTCTAGTTTCTGAAACAGAACATATGCCATCCAGTAGTTGCCATCAGCTYGCCCGGAGAAAACCATATTTAATAATCTAGAGCTGATGTGGTAGTAGTAATCTTTTGTGGGTAGTCAACCTCTCCCCTCTYGATATCCCCGTTATCTCAGCACTATAAGAGGGTTTCACAAGACTAGTCGCTCTCGTTGCCACATGGTTTCAAGGCAACAGTGTAGTAATGGTGAGGCCGTGGACCATATTTTCATTCTTGCAGATCACTGGTGGTCCACAGACCACAGGATGGGAACCACTTAGAATTCTTTATACATTATAACTGTATCTTAGAAATTTTTATACATTATAGCTGTATTCCCAATTTGCTTCTGACATGCTAAATAAATAAATGTTATATTATTGTTAATCGATTGAGTTACAGTTAACTTTTCAATTTAGGATCACTGAGTCATTTTGAGCTAATTTTAATAAATACATAGTAACTGGGTTTTATTTTAATTTAAAACTAATTAAAACCTAAATCAAGTTTTCATTTTTTAATCATAGTATTTAATACAAGGGAAAGAAACAGTAATTTAATGTTAATGCTAGTGTTTTCAAATTCTGCTTTAGGCATGATATGACTTTTTTTCACTATTGTGGGTCTAGGAAATTATGAACAGTTGAACAATTGCAGTTCTTTCTAATATCTAAGAAAAGAACATACCGCAATACCCTGGAGTCCCACAGACAGTTTTCATGGTCACTTGATCTGCAACAATCTTGGAAAGTCCAAAATCAGCTGTTACATACAAATCAGAAAGGTTTATTATTTTATAACGTTTCCTGCAGCACAGTGCTGAATTAATTAAGTGAAATATTCCATCTTTTATACTACCTTATGCTAAACCACTACCAAGCAAATAAAAACACAAAGAAGTAACCATTTCTAATGAATTTTTCATGTTTCAAACTCACAAAATTAAAATTTAGATACAAAAGTGTCACTGTTCAATTAGAAGTCACTCCTGCCCATGTGGGAAAGAGTGGTAGGACAGGGAGGGTCTTTTTATTTTTTCAGATTCCAAATGGTTTAGGGGCATCAAAGCCATCAATGTAGATTATGGAAGCAACATACTATGAGCAAAACTTCACTTATTGAAGTGAGAAGCCATGACTCCATTATTGATGTCACCTTATGTTGCTATTCCCAAACCGAAAGAACAGACATTAGCTGAAACTAAGGAACGAAATGTTACTTAGCCTTTTAAAAAAGCAAATGTGCTAAAAGTGGCTATGGGGAGATAACATAGAACATGCAAACAAACAGAGCAGCCCTGAAAAACATTAGGATTCTCAAATCTATCACAAATCCTAATGTTTGTTACAGATAGCTGGAGGAAACATTAAATCATAAACGAGAGAAAAGAACAAGAAACAAATGGAAGAAGCAAATGCAAATAAGAGACAGAAAGAAGAAGAAGAAGAAGAAGAAGAAGAGGAGGAGGAGGAGGAGCAGGAAGAGGAAGAGGAGGAGCAAGAGCAGGATGGGAAGGAGGAGGAGGAGCAGGAGCAGGAGCAGGAGATTGAACCAAATAGTTCTCATAGTATTATCAAATTGAAGGTTAAATGACTGGTGCTTGGTTTCTAAGACTATATTTTTTTACTTAACAGTTTAAACCAGGCATGGGCAAGCTTCACCTCTCCCAGTGTTTTGGACTTCAACTCCCATAATTCCTAACAGCCTACTGGCTGTTAGGAATTGTAGTAGCTGAAGTCCAAAACACCGGGAGGGCCAAAGTTTAGTCATGCATAGTTTAAAACAATTAGCCGGGATGTATTTGATGAATTACAATGGGGCACATATGCCATAACAACTCACTTTTTTAAGCATTGCGGAGAGCAGAATTCGCTGGCAACAATGGAATGATCAATATGCTCCAAAACTCCCCTTTTCTCATCTGCAGTCCCCAAACCTGGCCTATTTATGGTTGGTGGAGAGGGAAGGGAACGTAGACAACAGGTATTTCCCAATAGTAGGAGGCAAAACAATGGCAGGAGTATTTGGAGGAGCCCTTAATATCTCTGTGGATGCCTGTTCCTGGATAGGAGACTATCATAGTTTCATATCCTGAGGCCAAATATAGGCGTTATTCAAGTGTTAGTTTGAGGACACATGAGGTGATGAAGAATGAAGAGAACCACATTAATTTGTCCCACTTCTGCCCAAGTTCTAATTGTTTTTAATATATTGACTGTGAAGCTTTGCAGGGCAAATGTCTTCTATTTAAAAGACCCTGGCTCCATATGGCTCTACAAGGCTAGAACAAAAATCTGTAATATGCATTAATCCTCAATACATGGTGGGGCTATGCAGACACTAATGAAGGGGGCACAACTAGCATGTTCCTCCTTGCTTTTCTGCCTTATGCCTCCTTTAACTACTCAAGCATAACATCACCGGTAGATGATATTTCCCATATTAGCAGGACCATAAATCCATTCCAGGTTTTAATCTAGCTTTGGGAGCTGTGGCGGCGCAATGGGTTAAACCCTTTTGCTGGCAGGACTGCTGACCGAAAGTTAGTGGTTCGAATCAGGGGAGCAGGGTGAGTTCCTGTCTGTCAGCTCCATCTTTGTGGAGAGAAGAGAGAAGCCTCCCACAGGATGATAAAGTATTAGGGAGTCCCGTAGGCAATGTATTTGCAGATGGCCAATTTTCTCACATAGAAGTGATTTGCAGTTTCTCAAGCTGCTACTAATATGAAAAAAAAATCTAGCTTTAAATGGGCTATCCAGGGCGTTGAATTTAATTTAGTGGTAGGGTTTCAGCACCATGGATAGTTCCTTTGAAATTTGACCAAAGACCCGAACGAAGGCCTTTTAAACTACACTATTAAAGAATCATGGCTAAACTTTAACCGCCACAGTTTTATCCTATGGTAACTTGGGATTTGCAGTTTAAGATGGAATACTTAGAATTCTTCACTAGAGAGCTCTGTTGACTCACCAAATGACAAACTATGCCATTCTATAGGGTGCCTTCATAGCAGTTCAAGTGAAATCAAAGTGATAGCTTAGATAGTGTAGATTTGCCACAAGATTCAAATGGAAACTACTGGCTGCTATTGTCTATTCAGCCTGAAGAGATTGCCTTAGACTGGATCTACACTGCCCTATAACCCAGATCAATGTTGTCAATCCACATTCTGAAACTGGATTATAGGGCAGTGTAGATCCAGCCTTAGTCAGTACTGTGGGATGTTCTGAAAATAACTGGAATGAAATAAATGGATGTAGAGGGTGTCCCTACCATTCACTGCATTACAGCATCTGCATGCAAACAAAATACAACCTAGTACTGGAAAAAGTCAATTACCTATTTTTAAAGGTGCATCAGGAGCTGGCGTTGCATACAGAAGGTTTTCTGGCTTCAAATCACGGTGGACAATTCCATTAGCATGTAGATACTAGAAGGAACAAGTGAAAATATGTGATTTTAAATTTACTTTTTAAACCTGCATTTTTCAAATATTGTTTACTGGTTGCAGCTCTGAATACAAAGAGCAGACTAAAGCCTAAATTCTGTTGGTTAGTGCTAGCCAGATTAGAAACAGGGTCCTTCCACACAGCCATATAACCTAGAATATCCAGGCAGAAAATCCCACAATATTTGCTTTGGACTGGGTTATCTGAGTCCACACTGCCATATATTTCAGTTCAAAGCAGATAATGTGGGATTTTATTCACCTGTGTGGAAGGGCCCCCGATGAATCAAGTGTAGGGTAGCATGTTAATAATAATGATAATGATGATGATGATGATGATGATAATAATAATAATAATAATAATAATAATATGCTTTATTTATATTCTGCTTTATCTCCCTGAGGGGACTCAATGCGAATTACAGAACACATACATGGCAAACATTAAGTGCCATTATACAATTAGCAAAGACAGGCAGTACATAGACAGAGGCAAGGCTTCCTTCTTTTTCATTTCAGGCATCTGGAGACTGTGCTCAACTCAGCCATGAGAAGGTGCTGTTGTTCAATTTTCCATGCCAAGTAGCGTGTTGTCCATGGATGCCTTCCTGATTGAATTGCCAGCATGGCTTCTTCAGGGGTGCCTTTTACCTCCCCACCAAAGCAATACCTATTGATTTACTCACATTGCTGATGTTGAACTGCTAGGTAACTAGAAGCTAGAGCTGACGGTGGGAGCTCATCCCAACCCATTGCTTGAACTGCCAAGCTCCTGGTCGGCATGATTTTCTATAGCTGGTGGTTTAACTCGCTGTACAAACTATGGCCACCTGTAGGGTTAATCCTATTAATTGAATTGGCCTACTTTGCTCAGAAATAATTTTTTAAATTCAGATTATAGTATTAGACTGTCTTATCCCAAGGTTTTTAATGTAGTTTGTACCATAATTTGTAAGAGGAAAGTGAAGTTTTAAGATGAAAGAATGAATCTGTTTAACATAAACAGTGGGCGGTTTCTTGTATACACCTGATTTAAAGAAATAGGCAGAATGATCAAACCAATGTTAGATAAGTGTTGCAAGACAATATTTTCCTTACTGCAAAATTGTATTATTTCAATGCATGTGTTTGTGGTGTTTCTACATGTATACAGTTTGAAAAGGTTCTCACAGATGCCTTGTTAGAAGTAAACAGCTTTAACAAGAAAATTAGCTCTATTAAGATAATGTTGTCGAAGGCTTTCATGGCTGGAATCACTGGGTTGCTGTGAATTTTCTTTTTTTTCTTTTTTTTAATTGGTTTTTGCACTTACAATAAATATGGAGAGAACAGTGAAACAATGACGAAACAGATCGACGTATACGACTTGGTAACATGTACGCCTAATAATACAGCAGGCTACTCCTAGATACAGAACACATACATATATGACCGACAAACATACATACAGTGCCCCTTAAATCCCTCCCTTCCCGTCCCTATAATTGCTGTGAATTTTCCAAGCTGTTGCAGAAGCATTCTGGATTTCAGTGGCTTCTCTGTATCGTCTGACATGGTAGTTGTTAAGAGTCAAATGCTGGATCACTCTAACACCACCATATCAGACTACACAGAGGAGTCACTGAAATCCACAAGCATGATGTGGACAATTTCAACAGAAAGGAGGAAACCATGAATATGAACAAAATCTGGCTACCAATATTAAAAACTCTAAAATCAGGACAGTAAATAAAGAGCAACGTTCCATTCAGCTAGAGGTGGTGATATCTAAATGCACTTTCTCATTTTCCTCTACTGCAGCATTTCTCAACCTGAGGGGTCTGGATCCTGAGCGGCGGGGGGGGGGGGGGGGGGGGTCATGAGGGAGTGTCAGAGGGATCGCCAAAGACCATAAAAAACACAGCATATTCTGTTGGTCATGGAGGCTCTCTGTGGGAAGTCTGGCCCAACTCTATCGTTGGTGGGATTTAGAATTCTCTTTGATTGTAGGTGAACTATAAATCCCAGCAACTACAACTCCCAAATGAGAAGGACTATTTTCCCCAAACTCCACCAGTGTTCACATTTGGGTATATTGTGTATTTGTGCCAAGTTTGATCCAGATCCATCATTGTTTGAGTCCACAGTGCTCTCTGGATGTAGGTGAACTACAACTCCAAAACTCAAAGTCAATGCCCCCCAAACCCAGTATTTTCTGTTTGTCATGGGAGTTCTGTGTGCCAAGTTTGGTTCGATTCCATCGTTGATGGAGTTCAGAATGCTGTTTGATTGTAGGTAAACTATAAATCTCAGCAACTACAATAATACTATTTCATGAAACATAAACTGCAAGTCTTAGTTTTATTTGATTTATGACTGCCAAGATGCACAAAAGCTTTGGGTATGTTATCAGGAACAAAGAATCTTGTATTATATATCTTTCTTTTAGACAAAAAAGTAGCACCTGAATATTGGTGAATATTTTCCTTGGTGTTTTAAACTGTTTCAGCCACAGACTTGCAGTCTTCTTTTTCGAGTGACATTTCACTCAATTCTTTGAATATTTTAGCGTTATAGTGCTATTGTTTAAGGCAGTTTGCTAGATTTCTTGAGCAGCAGAGGATTATAAGTACCTCTAAGTACCTCACCAACTATAAATCCCATAGATCTGAGCCATGACAGTTGTATGCAGTATGCATCAATGTATGCAGTATCGGAACAGTTGTGGGAAGTGGAAGTGTTTGATCCAATCTATGCATGGTGCCTTTGAAAAATAATAAACTCTATTACATTAAAAGGTGGAAATCAATTTTCTTAACTTCCAAAAGAAGAAACTTTTGAGCTGGAAAAAAATACCTTTATTTACATTATGGCCTCAAATGCATTACTCACATTTTCATTGATAACAATACAAACTCCCCAAAATGTTCACAATTGGAATGTAAATTGAGGACTGCTTTTTTCCATTATTAAAAAGAGTTCATAAAGCAAAGTTACAGAGGCACTTTCCCACTTAAATATATATGTAACCCGCTTCTCTGAAAAATAACTAAAATGTCACATGAATAAAATAATGTGCTTTGTGCTACTGAATATGAGGTGATTTCTGAATGCTTCTGAATGCAATAGAATAATTCCCATCACATCAAGTGTTAGCAAATTTGACAGCCTTATTGAAGTCCTTTTAAAAATGTCAAAATGCTACAAGGTTAGAATTTCAAGTAGTTAAGATGTGGATCCAGAATACTAAATACAAGGAAATGTTGATTTTTTTAAAAAAAAATGGGTTTCTGCCACACCTGCAAAATTATCAGGTGACGTGATCAAAATACTGTATTTAATAAGTTTTCACATAAAGGTAATCTATTTAATTTTTTTTTTGAAACAGTAGGTTTGAGTAAAAACTGCAAGAAAACAGTGAATGCACAATTTAGGGGAGGGGGGATTGTTTGAAAGGCAGCTTGAAACCCTCATACTGCCAAGGCTTAATAAATACTAGCTGTCCCCTGCCATGTGTTGCTGCGGCCCAGTCTGTGTATATGTGCTTTGTGTGTATATATATGTGTGTGTGTATTTGTGTATATGTGTATACCTGTGTTTACATATATATGTGTGGTTTTGTGCATCCGTTGTAATGTATTTTTTTTGGCTTTTTAAGTCCCTTCTGCTGTGTTTTTCAGTGTTTTTATGACTGATGGTCACTCATTGGCCTGATAGGTGTATTGCGTCCAAATCTGAAGTCAATTCGTCCAGTGGTTTTTGAGTTATGTTAATCCCACAAATGAACATTACACTTTTATTTATATAGATGGTTTTCTGTGGGTGAGCAGACGGTGAGTACTAGATGGCATATGTTCTGTATCAGAAACTAGAGCCGATGTGGTCAATCCAATGCATTTTTCTGAATGAGCACCCCAAATAACCAAACCGAATCTAAAGTTGACCAAAAACCGATTTGTAACCCTTTTGGTACTAATGTCAGAAAGTGGTCAAAATGGTCCCTGGTTTTTTTTAAAAAAGGTTGGGAACCACTGCTATAGAGCATAACCTTTCTCCCTTAGCTACAGTGCTTCTGTCTTTTTCTCTCTTCTTGAAGCAAGAGGGCTATTGAAGGTAGACAGGTCACCAGGCCTTTTATGTCTTTTCTTTCACCTTACCTCAAGGAAGATTTTTGACAAAAATATAAGAGGAGGTCACACAGATGGTCAACACTGGCTGTCCATACCAGACCTAGAGGCTCCTGTCATTCTATCTTACTCCAACCAACAGCTGCACAGATCTGAAAGATCTGCATAGATCTCACCCTCTCCTATCAACAAACTGTTTCAGCCAGAAATACATAATTCTTAAAACCATTTCAGAACTGGCGGCTTTCTGCAAAGTTCTGAAAGAAGCATGGTAACAATCCAAAAGGCTGTAGGAAATACATGACTGATTAACAATATGGTTTGACTTCTGCATCCAGAATTGTTGAATAAGGACTTCCTTTTCCTTCTCTCCTCCAAACAAGATCCTGCTTCACAACCTGAAAAGCTCCTCCAGGAGGCTCCTTATTCTTTATTCCTGTAAGTGCGAATTGACGGTCCACAGGGTCTTATAGGGAAGGATGTTACTGAAGAAGTAGTTCTAGTCAAGTGGTCCCTGTGTTTTTTTGACCAGGGACCACTCTCCAACATTAGTACCAAAAGGGTTACAAATCAGTTTTTGGTCAACTTTAGATTTGGTTTGATTATTTGGGGTGCTGATTCAGAAAACTGCATTGGATAGACCACATCAGCTCTAGTTTCTGATACAGAACATATACAATCTAGTAGTCTCCATCTGCTCACCCACAGAAAACCATATTTAATAAGCCTCAGTACTATAAGAGTGTTTCACGAGACCAGTCACGCTCATTGTAATGGTGTAGAAACGGTGAGGGACCATATTTTAGTTCCTGCTTACTTACTTACTCTACTCGGAACTCAAGAATGGGAAATGTAATGTTGGTGGACAGGAAAAGA